AATTTTTTGTACTTTTAGTAGAGACGGGGTTTCACCATGTTGACCGGGATGGTCTCGATCTCTTGACCTCGTGATCCACCCGCCTCGGCCTCCCAAAGTACTGGGATTACAGGCTTGAGCCACCGCGCCCGGCCCCTAAAATTAACCACTTTAACTGTCCAGGCACTGTGGGTCATGGCCATAGTGACTTTGAGAGATAGCTTTGAGAGATAGAAGTGAAAGGATCACTTAAGGCCAGGAGTTCCAGGCTAAAGTCAACTGTGTGCTGCCGCACTCCAGAGCCTGGGTAACAGAATGAGACCGTGACCCTTAAAAAAAAAAAAAAAACAGCTTCTCGTTTGATCCACAGCCTCTGGGTGTGTTCCACCTTGCCATGACTTCCTACAGCTATTGCCGGTCATGGGCCACATCGTCCTTCAGGGGCCTGGGTGACGGCTCTGTGTGATCTCCTACCTGGAGGAGGTATACACCCTCGAGGTAGCCAACAGTGAGCTGGAGGTGAAGATGTGTGACTGGTACCAGAAGCAGGGGCCCGGGCCTTCCTGTGACTACAGACACTACTACAAGACCATCTAGGACCTGTGGACCACGCCCAGCCGGAATCGTTTTCTTAATTTCATGTTTTGAGTATTTATTCATTGCTGCTGTATAGAAATATGATAGATTATTGGCTGGGCACAGTGGCTCATGCCTGTAATCCCAGCACTTTGTGAGGCTGACTGGGGTGGATCACCTGAGGTCAGGAGTTCAAGACCAGCCTGGCCAACATGGTGAAACCTCGTCTCTACTAAAACTACAAAAATTAGCCGGGCATGGTGGCATGCACCTGTAGTCCCAGCTACTCAAGAGGCTGAGACAGGAGAATCACTTGAAGCCAAGAGGTGGAGGCTGCAGTGAGCCAAAATCATGCCACTGCACTCCAGCCTGGGCGACAGACTGAGATGCTGCATCAAAAAAAAAAAAGACTGATTTTTGTGTGTTGATTTTGTACTCTGCAATTTTGCTGAATTTATTAGCTTTTTTTTATGGATTCTTTAGGGATATATACATATTATATAATATATAGATTATACTATGTATATTACATATTTTTTTATACATATATAATCCATGTCATCTGTAAATAGAGATTATGTTACTTCTTCCCTACCCATTTAGATGCCTTTTGCTTCTGTTTCTTGTCTAATTGCTATGGATAGAACTTCCAATACAATGTTGAATAGAAGTAGCATAGGGAAAGTAGGAATCCTTGTCTTGCTCCTGATCTTAGGCGGAAAGTTTTCAGTTTTCACCGTTGTATGTAATGTTACCTGTGGGCTTTTCATAAACGCCTGTTACCATATTGAGGATGTTCTTGCCGTGTATTTCTGCCTAGACAGCCCTTCGACCTCTGCTTAGGCAGAAACCTTTTCTGTCCTGTTCCTTCTGTTGTACATCTGTCATTTATATTCTGCTTTTTTGGAGTACTCATAAAGAGGACCATGGAGTTTTGTTTTCAGGTAATTTCCTTGTGAATGACAAAGGCTTATTCATACCAAATCCATTGTCTTTGACCAGCACATAAGGAGCAGAAGCAGTATTGAGGAAAGCAATTGTGTTTATATTCTTTTAGTGGTTCATAGTTGTCGTTAACCACCTTCTATATGCCAAACATTATTGCTGGGATACAGAGATGAATGTCTGGCCCCTGCCCTTTTAGAATACACACAATGAAATGTGCAAGTACAAAGGGAACCAGTGGAAATATGATATAATTCTGTCTGAAAGTACCAATACAGATTTCCCAGAGAAAGAGGCATTTCACAGTGACTTAGAATTTGCCTAGTAGAGATATAAGAGAATTCCAGATAGAGGGGCAATTTGAGAGAAGGTAGTCATATTCCAGAACTTGAGAAGACAGAGGAGGAGATACCCAAGGAGAGCATTTAACCCTGGGGCTCCAGTATATGGCTCCCTATCACTTACTATGAAGCCTTTGAGTGACATTTATATCACAAGGCATAGAAACAACCCCAGTGATATAGGATTCTCTCTCTTTTTATTTTTTTTAAATTTTTCTCTTTTGGACCTGAAGAAAGAGATACAGGATTCTCATGGATCTGAGTATTTGCTCAGCTTCAAGGAAAGTCTATTCCATGAGCCAGCCAACTCCCCTTATCACAGAGACCCTCCATAACTCAGGAGCTGTGGTCTCCTAGGACTGGAAAGAATGAGATATCCAATAAATTCATCTGGCAGATATTTGAAAGCCAACTATGTGCTGGATTCATACTAGGCTCTGGGTATATAATGGTGAGTAAGACAAATATGGTCTCAGCTCTTATGAAGTTTGCAGTCTGAATGTCCAGCACAATGTGGTAAACAATGTGGTAAATGTTCTGTGTGACAAGAGGAGAGAGGCAGAGGCTACCTTCACACTTAGTGCGGTTCCTTCCAGGATCCCAGGCTTCTGCATGGGGGGCATTAGCATTTGCCCATTTTCTTTTTTTTTTTTTTTTTTTTTAGGGAGTTTCGCTCCTGTTACCCAGGCTGGAGTGCAATGGCGCGATCTCGGCTCACCGCAACCTCCGCCTCCTGGGTTCAGGCAATTCTCCTGCCTCAGCCTCCTGAGTAGCTGGGATTACAGGCATGCGCCACCATGCCCAGCTAATTTTTGTATTTTTAGTAGAGACGGGGTTTCACCATGTTGACCAGGATGGTCTCGATCTCTTGACCTCGTGATCCACCCGCCTCGGCCTCCCAAAGTGCTGGGATTACAGGCGTGAGCCACCGCGCCCGGCCTGCATTTGCCCATTTTCAATCTCATCTCTTCAGTTCTGAATTTTACCCTCTCTAGTGCTGTTTATTCCATTCTCATTATTTCAGAGGTCCTTGAGCTAGACACACATGGATGGACTTGAGAGAATCCCTGGATCTCCTGAAATTTTATGTAAAATTTTGTATATGTGTGTACTTTTCTTTCTTTCTGTTTTTCGTTCTTTTTTTTTAGATGGAGTCTCACTCTGTCACCAGGCTGGACTGCAGTGACACAATCTCGGCTCACTGCAACCTCTGCCTCCTGGGTTCAAGTGATTCTTCTGCCTCCTCCTCCCGAGTAGCTGAGATTACCGGCATGCGCTACCATGCCCAGCTAATTTTTGTATATTTTTTTTTATGCAGATGGGGTTTCACTATCTTGGCCAGGCTGGTCTTGAACCCCTGACCTCGTGATCCACTTGATTCGGCCTCCCAAAGTGCTGGGATTACAGGCGTGAGCCACCACGCCCGGCTGTATTTTTTTTTTAGTAGAGATGGTTTCACCATGTTGGGCCAGGATATCTCGGTCTCCTGACCTCATGATCTGTCTACCTTCGCCTCCCAAAGTGCTGGGATTACAGGCATAAGCCAGCGTGCCTGGCCATGTGTATACTTCTCTGAGAAGACTATATATATTAATATTTCAACAGATTTTTTTTTTTTTGGAGACAAAAGTCTCACTCAATTGCCAGGCTGGAGTGCATTGGCACGATCCCTGCTCACTGCAACCTCCGCCTCCCAGGCTCAAGCAATTCTCTTGCCTCAGCCTCCTGAGTAGCTAGAACTACAGGTGTGCACCACCATACCCAGCTAATTTTTGTATTTTTAGTCAAGAGGGGGTTTCACCATGTTGGTCAGGCGGATCTGGAACTCCTGACCTTGGGTGATCCACCTGCCTCAGCCTCCCAAAGTTCTGGGATTATAGGCATGAGCCACCATGCCTGGCCTTCAGCAGATTTTAAAGCTGCATGGTCCAATGCTGGCCACATATGGCTATTTAATTAAAAATAAATAAAATTGGACGGGCGTGGTGGCTCAAGCCTGTAATCCCAGCACTTTGGGAGGCCGAGGCGGGTGGATCACGAGGTCAACAGATCGAGACCATCCTGGTCAACATGGTGAAACCCCGTCTCTACTAAAAATACAAAAAATTAGCTGGGCATGGTGGCGCGTGCCTGTAATCCCAGCTACTCAG